GTCTCATGTAAAAGTAGTTATTTCTAAGTGTGCGTAAAAACCGACGAACATGCCTCACGCAATCGAGGTCATCCCTCTGGCAAATGGGAAACGATAGCAATAAATCTCGATTACTCTCTTGAAGAGACGCATCCGCTCCCACAAACAATGCATCCAACACCACCAACAGATAGGGGAGATTATCTCCTGTCTGGTAGCGGCGTTTCACCACAAAGAACAGACGTCCAAACTCGGTCAGAAACTTGTGTAAAGTTAAGTGAAAACGTCGCCGTTACGTAGCGCTAGCATCTCTTGATTTCCTCTGTACATTTTGCACTTTCGGCCAATTTGGCGCTAGTATCGATAAATTATCTGTCGAAAATTGCCACTTGGCGCTACCAGAACATACACACTCAATCGAGATTACCGAGCCCGGTAAAAAAAATTACCGAAATTATAACAGCTGAGTGCTCGGTGATCGATTCGGTAAATAATTTCGATTACCGTTTACTCGCTATTCTATATCTTCGAACGATGTGTCTAAATTTACTGAGCCATTAACCATTAGATAGATCGTTTCGGTTCTCATTGCTTACCAACCAGCTCGTCATTTAAAGGGTGATACGTTCAAAATGTGGTCAATATCAACTTGACGTATTTCTTTCAATTTTGCATTTAAAAAACCTGAACACCCCTCATTTTGAAAGTGTGTGTGTGTAGAATGTTGCTCCTATTTTGATTTTGGAATTCACTGTTCAGTTGTCAAAATGCCGTCCAAGCAAGAAGAGCAGCGTATCAAAATTTTGCTCGCGCATCGTGAAAATCCGAGCTACTCGCACGCAAAGTTGGCAAAATCGCTAAAAGTTGCCAAATCAACCGTTACAAATGTAATTAAAGTGTTTGGGGAACGTTTGTCGACAGCCAGGAAGTCTGGATCGGGGGGAAATCGAAAACCGGAAGCCGCTGATACGACAAAGAGAGTTGCCGGTAGTTTCAAGCGAAACCTTAACCTCTCTCTCCGAGATGCCGCAAATAAGCTGGGTGTATCGTCTACAACCGTGCATCGAGCCAAACAACGAGCCGGACTATCGACTTACAAGAAGGTAGTGACTCTAAATCGCGATGATAAACAAAATACGACGGCCAAAGCGCGATCCCGGAGGCTGTACACGACGATGCTGACGAAGTTTGACTGCGTGGTAATGGACGACGAAACCTACGTCAAAGCCGACTACAAGCAGCTTCCGGGACAGGAGTTTTATACGGCAAAAGGAAGGAGAAAGGTAGCAGATGTTTTCAAGCACATGAAACTGTCAAAGTTCGCAAAGAAATATCTGGTTTGGCAAGCCATCTGTACCTGTGGCTTGAAAAGCAGCATTTTCATAGCTTCCGGGACTGTCAACCAAGAAATTTACGTGAAAGAGTGTTTGAATAAACGTCTGCTGCCTTTCCTGAAGAAACACGGTTGTTCCGTACTGTTTTGGCCGGATTTGGCATCTTGCCATTACGGTAAAAAGGCCATGAAGTGGTACGCCGCCAACAACGTGCAGGTGGTTCCCAAGGACAAAAACCCTCCCAACACGCCAGAGCTCCGCCCAATTGAGAAATACTGGGCTATTGTCAAGCGGAACCTAAAGAAGACCAAAAAAACTGCTAAGGGCGAGCAGCAGTTCAAGGCAAACTGGCTTTCTGCGGCGAAGAAGGTGGACAAGGTGGCTGTACAAAATCTGATGGCAGGGGTCAAGCGTAAGGCCCGGCAATTCGGATTTGGAAAAGCGGAAGCCTAACTGAATATTTTTCCTGAATTTTATACTAATTGAACTTGAAAAAGAAATTTAATTTGATTTTTTAAATAAACGATTTCACCGATTTACACGCGTTTTCCCTTGACCAAATTTTGACCGTATCACCCTTTAGTTTTTTGACGTAGACTACGTCTTACGGGAAGGTACTGGGGGTAAATCGAAAATCTAAAATTGCGACCGTCACGAAAAGATGTAATTTTTTGAACGCTATAAGCTTTGTCATTTATAGATGAAATTAAAATCTGAATACAAAAATCGATAGGAAATACCTTTCGTAAGCTGTTGCAATAAACTTTTTTTTTTTTCAATTTATCATAACAAACTGTTTTGAAAATGAACAAACAAAAAGTGATAATTTTATCAGCATCCAGACAGGTGAGTCATACTTTGAACCTTGACAGCCCAACCAAAGATCTTATCAGGCTCCGTAACACCATTCGTAGGCAGTTCCAGCGTTCTGGGCTGCCCACTTGAAGACCAACGTCAATAGGCTAACCAAAATTATCCAAGCCAGGATCGTGGAACTCAGAAATAACGATTTTACCAAAACGATTCGCTCTCTCCCAGATTGTGCAAAACCATTTTGGAAGATGACCAAAATTTTGAAAAATAAGTCTAGACCGATCCCTCCGCTTTCCTCTGTTGACCACTTAGACTCATCCCTACTGATAACCCCAGTTGAAAAGGCCAATGCTCTTGGCCAACATTTTGTGATTTCACATAATCTTGGTCAAACCATGGTGAGCCCCCATGGGCCTGCCGTCCTGGAGGCAATGACTAGAGTCGCTGACACCCCCGTAGTAGTACATGATCATAGTAGAATATCGGCTGATGAGGTGATAGCAGCTATTACAAGCACTAAAAACATGAAGGCCGCGGGTATGGATGGTGTAGTAAACCTCGAGTTGAAAAACTTGAGTATTGACTTCTTCAACCATCTTACGATAATCTTCAACAAATGTTTGGAGCTTGGCTACTTCCCTGCATGCTGAAAGTTAGCCAAAGTGATTCCAATACACAAGCCTGGCAAAGATCCTACCAGTGCCAAAAGCTATCGCCCCTATCAGCCTCTTGTCCTCCATCTCGAAGCTATTCGAAAAGTTGATACTCAGCCGTCTGCTTGTGTTTTCAAATGACTATAACATCTTTCTCAAAGAGCAATTCGGGTTTAGGAAAGGCCACTCTACCATCCACCAACTCGCACGGGTTACTGACATCATTAAGCGGAACAAGTCCGTTTCCAATACATCTGCCATGGCATTGTTGGACGTCGAGAAGGCGTTCGACAATGTCTGACATGATGGTCTAGTGTACAAGCTGCATCGATACAACTTTCCGATCTACCTCGTGAAGATCATCAAAAACTACTTGTCGGGCAGATCATTCCAGGTCTACTTGAACAATGTCCCCTCTGATACGTTCAACGTTGATGCAGGGGTCCCTCAGGGTAGCCTGCTTGGGCCTATCCTATTCAACATCTTCACGTCAGACGTTCCTCCCCTGCCGGGTGGTGGTATCCTGTCAATGTTCACAGATGACACCTCCATCATCCATAAGGGTCGAGTGATCCGTGCACTGGCGAGTAAACTACAATCAGGCCTGGATGTTCTGTCCGCCTATTTCAAGAGCTGGAAGATTTGTATCAATGCAGCTAAAACACAAGCCATTCTGTTTCCACACTCGAATTCACCTCGGCTTGTTCCGCCTGCTAACGTCAAGGTCCATGTTGATAGCACTCCTATTGAATGGTCGAGTGAAGTAGTCTACCTTGGTCTCACCCTCGATTGCAAATTGCTATTCCGATCCCATGTGGACAAGACATCCACCAAATATAACATCTTGATCAAGTCGCTCTACTCTCTGATAAACAGGAAGTCCATATTGTACCTCAAACAATCTTGCTGTCCACAAGCAAACCATTCTACCGGCTATTGAGTATGGTATGCCAATCTGGGAGAGTTGTGCTAAGTGCCACCACCTAAAGCTTCAGAGGATCCAAAGCAACATCCTCAGAATGATCCTTAACAGTCCACCGCGAACTCGTAATTCTGAGATTCACCACCTGGCCGGTCTTCAAACACTCGAGGAGCGAAAGACTTCCACGCTGGAAAGATTCAGAGTCGCCTGTCTGTGATCAAACCACCAGATCATTCGTGATTTGGCAACCTAGTTTAAGTAGTTAGGCAGGTTCCTGTGCCCAGCGAAACAGGTTATCCACCTATTAAAAAAGATTAAGTTTTAAATCGTTCGCAATCGATTCATTAAATTCAAATTACCTTCACTCATTCGATGATTCCATCCAACGGATTTTTTCTATCGACATTGCCCTGGTTTGTTCGTTAAACACCTCGTGACGAATAGAATAATATTAATTCGTTCCTAACATGTAAACATCACCAAAATAAGTATTTACCATCCTGAATGTGCTGATATACAAGATTATAAATCTTTCTTGAAAATCTAATGCTGCAGGGTGAAGTATGCTAAAATCCAAGATCGATTTTGTCCCCAAGCTAATGAATCCTCCGAAATGCACGAATTGCATTATAACCACAACCCTGGTTATAATGTCAACTTCCAACATTAATTTTCTGAAGACACTTCATTCCAATATTTTGATCACAATATCATTATTTTCTCATACCCGCAGTTTTAAACTCACAGGAATGCCCGATACGCCATTCAAGAGATTTACATCTTCCACTCACAATCATGACGCACAAGTGCATAAACAGTGTGCAAATATAGCCGGTTCATTGCAGGCGTGAAAAGTTGTGGCAATTTTAGTGGAAAAATTACTACTTCTCCCACACACTGAAAAAAGGGTCTGCTCTACCTACAAGCTCCACAACGTCTATTTCTGGACCGGTATAGAGGGAGATGCATTCATATTGGCAAGTAAAGGGGGGGGTTTGTTTGTTGGCTACGTCTGGGGACGAGGGTGTAGGTATTTACTATTTATGTAGTTTGGACTGGCCCAACGACGCTACGAGCTACGATTCGCAACCATGAACTTGACCTTCATCTGCTGTACTCACATACGGATCAGCCGTTTGTTGGCATTCTAGTAGCGTAGAAAATAAGAGCGAATGGCACAAAGAGAGGAAGATGAACTCCCGCTGCAGACGGGAATGAATTATCGGAAATACTCAAGGCAAGCAAAATGAATTTTATTCGCAATCAAATTTTGAAAATTGACAGATTAAGGATTGTCTTTTACCGTTCAACTTTGCTCTTCATTTCCTTTCGTAGCGCTTCGATCAATTGTTTACATCCACCCGGTGATCCGATATCGATGTTCACCCTGTCCACCAGCCAGCAATCTTTCCTGTACCTAGAATGGGGCAAAACCGATAGCGTAGAATTGCAGCACTCCGCCAGTGGGTTCACGTGGTACAGGTGCCTTTCACCCAGTGCCGCAACGGGTGTCGGCTCATGCTGGATCACTCGCATTCGCTGGTCCAGCAGTTGACGGAACTGAATCAACTGTTGGAAATCGATGCATTCCTGTGTTCTGGAAATCAACCAAAGTATCGGATGACTGCGGGACGCACTTCTCGTCGATCCCCAGTAGAGGAAGTAATCGTTGGTGAAGGTGTGGAAGAGATTTACAATCGGGAAGGGATTCGGTTTGAACGCCGAATCTGGAAAGACAATTTTCTTCAGGTTGCCTATGACTGGTTTTATAAACTCATTTGGTGAGGATTTTAGATTGAAGAAATAGACCAACGAAACCACTCCACCAACATGCTGCAAAGCTTCCTCTTGACTTTTGAATGCATTGTTAAAATGAACGATGTGCATCTCCAGCGGGAGGTGTACTCCATCGATGGTGTGTTCACTTCCTTCCACGGCCGTGTTGCCCCAGTGGAAATGGAGCTGCGAGAACATGTACTTTCCCTCCAAGGGACCGCCTTCCAGGTAGGGAGGCTCTTTTCCCGGCCATTTGGCACTCAAAATTACCGTTTCACCGGTGTTGCTTAGCTTGATTTTGTTTGGAAGCTTCTCGTAGTTGTGCCACAGCAGTTCCGGCAGGGTTATCTTTTCGGCAAAATTGATGTTGATGTCGATTGGTGCCGGTAGGGAGGACTCTCTTGAGGCTACCGCCAAAACTATGTTGGATGTGTCATCGCTAGCGTTGGATTCGGTTTCAGTTTCCGACGATTTATTGCTAGATAGGGATGATTCGTTGGAAGCTTGTTTTTGTGACATTGTTGATGGATGATAGATTATGGATTTCTTTGGTTCCTGAGATCAGCTGTGAACATCTATCGATCTCAGCGTTTCCAGATATAGGGTAAATGATGGCTTCGGCAGCCATCGACTGTTTTCGGCAACCACAATTTAAACGTTAATTTCGATGTATTTTCTCACTAAAACACTTCGCTGAATGTATTTAAACGATTCCTTAGTTTTTCAGCTTCAATCCTAATACATTTTTACGACTGAGCAAACCTGTTATGCCAGGTGTTTCTGCAAAAGAAACATAAGCACATCAAAATACGGCTGATTTCGAGTTGCCGATAATAGAACAGCTGGTTTACACGCAGTTTAAACGGAAAGGTTGCCGAAGTAAAAGAGGCTGCCGACAATAGTCACACTCACCTGAGAAGTTTGTAGCGCCTTAAAAACGTTTTCAAACCGTTTTGGACAGTTTTGTTGATTGGAATGGATAGAATAGCTAGCAGCAGATGAATGTAAACAAACAGACACATCATATGTGTGCGTGACACTGAGACAATGCTAATAGAAGTGCGGAAGCTGCTTAGATTGACGAGAATACGTAAGTTCCCCTACCTAATACCCTGTTCACATTACAGCCTATATCACATAATATAGGCTGTCTTGCAATGAGCACTCATGCATAGAATTTCCAGTGAAAACTAGATGTATGAGTGCTCATTGCAAGACAGCGTATATCACGTGATATACGCTGTAATGTGAACGGGGTATAAGGCTGTGAACCATTTGCCTAAAGAGCCTGAATTTATAAAGAGACGACATCTTATCCAGTGCTGTGCATTATCATAACGGTTATTGGACCTTGATGGCCATCCTCACATAATCGTCACATCTCAGAAATGACGGTCAACTAGCATATCACTTGGAAACACCTCTACCTCACTAGACCGTCTTCCTTAAAGCCATTCATGACAGTTAGATTAAATGACAAGGAGAGAGTAGCAAAATCATTCACTCACTGATCATCTCTGTTGGGCATTTATAAGTGGGAAGTGAGAATAATGCTCCCTCATTTTCCTGTTCTTGCTAAAAGTTGTTGAGTTCAGAACATACGAAACATTTTGAAGAAATCGTTGGATTTTCATTTTCCTTGCAACCACTGCTGTAAATTCTCAAAATCATTTGAACATTTTTGATGAAAATGAGAACAGTAGCTATTCTCTATCAAAGGGGACCGCCTCCGAATGGGTGTTATCAGTTGCTTAGTCATTTGACGAAGGCATGGATCTTTCTCACTTGAGAAACACTATACACGGAGAACAAATTCGTTAAGTTAAGATAACAATCCTAATAGTTAATTTCACATGGAAAAAGATTGTTGTTTGAAAGAAACCTATAGTTATTCCAACATTAATTTGACCGTCAACTCAATCATATCTACCTAATAGATTCAACTGTCCACCTTATACTCAATTCAACTATTACTTTGATCAATTATAACAACCGTCAAATGTAATTTATTTATATAATTTGGTTTCAAGTGATCATCACAAATCCACATACCTTTAACTTGTGATGCATAAAGCAGGCGATAAGATAGCTGGCTCTCACGCAGATGAACACGGTTCAAACCTAACTTGAATGTTCTTGTTCACTTTTTAATGATTTTGCAGTTGTGTATTTGAGATCGATAAAGAAGCAAAACAAACTTCATAAATATGTCGATAATGAAGAGCAGTTCGTCTAATAAACATTGTAAAATTTTGTTTTTCTAACAATAGTTTTCTTGAATCAACTAAAGCATAGTTGTATTTCGAAGTTTGACGTATGTTCATCTACTGAAAAATACAGTTGAGCCAACTATGGAATATAGTTGTTGCTCTCTATATATAGTCAAATCAACTATAGTTTCGAGTTATCTCTAAAACAATTGAACAAAATAGTTATTTTGACCGGAAAAATAATTGACTCTGCTATAATTTGTTCTCCGTGTATATCAATCAATTGAGTGTAACTACACATACACATAAACGGAGCTCTGGTCGACATTCCGGTGAAAAAGCTAAGTCAACCCGACACCAACCTGACTTCTACCAAACCCCAACCCGATGTTGACTTGACATTGACCCGACATAAACCCAAAATTTACCCGACAACAACACGACTTTGGGTCGACTTCGACCTTAAATTAGCCTTACATTGATCCGACATCGGGTCGACTTGTCTGTTCGGGACCATTTTGCTGGATTTTTTTTCCATTTTCCACTGTCGTAGGGGAATTTACGTATTCTCGGCAACCTAAGCAGCGACCTTCATTCTATAGCCTTTTTCTCTAAGGAACGCACACATATGCAGTATTGGTTTGTTTACAATCTTTTGCTGCCAGCTGCTCTAACAATTCCAGTCGAAAGAATTGTCAAAAACTGTTTTGAAACGCTTGTACAAAGCTCCAATCTTCTCTAGTGAAAGCGAGTATTGTCGGCAACCAGTTTTTCTTCGGCAACCGTTCCATTTGAACTGCATGTAAATCTGCTGTTCTATTATCGGCAACTCGAAATCAGCTACAATTTGTAGTGCGTGTGTTGCATTTCAAGAAAACCTTGCTAGATTGCTTTTTCTCAGTGGTAAAAATATAGTCAAATTGAAGCTGAAAGCATAAAGAATCGTTTGCATGCATTCAGCGAAGTGTTTTCGTAAGAAAATCCAGTGAAAATTGTGTTTCAATTTGGGTTGCCGAAAATAGTCTGGCATGCCGAAGCCGTCATTTCCCCTATATCAAATGATAGTGAGTGATTCAATTAACAGTGACAATGAGCTTCAAATGAGAAAGGGGCTCTTCAAATTATGGTCATGTGAGAATTCGTTTACACAGAATTGATTGAATGGTTGCATTGGTTCATCTTCCATCGAATTATATGAAAATTTACAGCACTGCTTGCAACAAATAAATATGTGGGTGTTATTACGTTACAATGTCGAAAAAATATCCGTTTATCTTCAAAAATTCAATTTCTTAACATGCAAATTAAAGTCACTTTCACTTTTTTTATAATCCATCGGCAATATCAATTCTCTTTTACGTACGCGTCATTGTTTGCGATGCTTAATAAATCTCAAAACTGGCACAACTCACAATTGACAAGCTCACGAGAACTTTACTGTCAAAACAAATATCTTTTCAACGTTATAACGTTTCATGCGAAAAGTGAAGCGAAAAATCTTAAATTTTTGAATTGCTCCGAAAAATTGCAAGGATCATCATGGAACCAACAGGTGGAACTTCGACAAATCAATGCAAAATCGAACTTTTTGTAAGTGTAAACATCAACCTGAGCTGGGTTTTAAAAGCAAACGATCAAACTGACGTTTTTTTTTCCGAAAACAAGCAGATCCAATCTAGATACCCGATCCAGGTTGGAACTGAATAATAAACGAATTTGCTATTAATTTTAGCGAAGATCTATTGAAATACATCACGTTTCCTTACGGCCTTCGAAGTAACGGTATGAAGTTTTCTTTGTTGATGGATACCAATGGTTGCTTTGATTGATAGCCACAATTCCAATATTTAGAGGGGAATTCCTATTTACGCAAGGATTTATTGGTTTTGCTTTTTACGGATCCCTTGATACTAGGGCTTCGGTAATGTGGATACGATATGCGGTCAGCATCCTTAATCTTGGAGCTCAAGCGTCACGGTATCCGAAAAAATGAATAGCTACAAAATTTCTATCGATGAATAAGCATTCGTGACTGCAGGTAGTACGTGTTCATGCATATATGAATTCTCACAATAATAATTACTGGTTATGATACGAATGTTTAACGCAGGATAAGACTTTTTCCTTGATACATCACATCTATCGCCTCATCCGTGATTTTGAAAGGGGTATGACCAGCCGGTGAACACTCGTGTTTATTTCAGTTACCGTGGGGGCGTAATTTGTGATTAGCCCCGGTCCCTTTCAAATTGTATCATTATTTACGTACGGTCCTTATATTTGAAATGACGTTTCACATTCATTGACATTTTCATTCGAATAATCGATTAATCGATTAACGAACCAAACAGTAACATATTTGTTATCAGTTATATCAACAATCAATACGAAACTAACGATTTTAAATTGGCTCACCACTTTAGTAGCCTATTGGTCCCAAGCAAACCATTAACGTACCCTATTCTAGTCGAAATTCTAGTACTATGCAATGTTTGTTTTGATTCGCTATGAAAGTTTGACAGATAAAATGAGGGGTTATTGGTTTTTCCTATGTTTCGAGGGGTGATTCGAGAAGCTTGGGACCGAAGATAGTACCAGAGGTGAGCCAAAAAGTTGAGCACGTTTCTTCGGGACCTACTTGTCTTAGAGTTACCTCTATGGTTATATCATAGAGGTAACTCTAAGACAAGAAGGTCCCGAAATAACGTGCTCAACTTTTTGGCACAGCTCTGGTACTCGCTTCGGTCCCAAGCTAATCGATGCACCCCTCGAAACATAGGAAAATCCGCGAACCCCTCATGTTATCTGTCAAAATTTCATGGCGAATCAAAACAAACATAGTGTAGTAGTAGAATTTCGACTAGAATAGGATACGTTAATCGTTTACTTGGGACCAATAGGCTAGTCAAGTAGTGAGCCAATTTAAAATCGTAAGTTTCGTATTGATTGTTGGTTATATCATAGAGGTAACTCTAAGACTACTGGGTCCCGAAGAAAATCATTATTATTTTTGGCTCACTCAGTACCAGAACAACGGTCCCAAGCAGTCCCAAGCTATTTCACTCACCCCTGCATGTTCTGCATGAATCCACACACCCCTGATGTTATCTGTCAAACTTTCATAGCGAATCAAAACAAACATAGTGTAGTAATAGAATTTCAACTAGAATAGGGTACGTTAATCGTTTGCTTGGGAACAATAGGCTACTAAAGTGGTGATCCAATTTAAAATCGTTAGTTTCGTATTGATTGTTGGTTATATCGTGCCGATATAAGCATTAACTTCTGCAGAGGATCATCACCGATCGTTTCAAACAAGTTTTGCACTCTCATTGGTGGAAAAATGACAGCACAGCGAACAAAAAAAATCGATTAGTTGTTCATCGAGTAATTAAAAAATGGGACATCTCTCGCGCAAAATTTCATCTCTATCGAGGGGGCAGCAAAACCACAAAATTACCTTGCATACTGGGGGTATTCATTGGATGAAAGGGACCGTGAAAGAGGACACTAAAATTGAAAGTTTTTCTTCCGACAGTTTCATCTTAGTATTCATCTTTGGTATGACCGTCATAACCGTATTTATGCTCGAAATGAGATGACGGTCAATTAATATGTCTGTTTATTTTTCCTCGATGATATGATGGTAACACATGGCAGATGTTAGTGATATTGAGAATGATCGAGAAAAGCAAAACAACGATATCTCACGGTTGTTGTGTCATACTGGTGAGAAGTTTTACGGAGAGAGGGTTTTCAGTTGCTTTGATTGTTAACCGTAGAAATCTCTTTTGTCAATCTAAATGCTGTCAGTACCGTGATGCAACTCAGCACTGATCTTATCCATTTGACAGGTCTTCTGCTCGATTGGAATGACTTTTCGTATGACTTTGACAGATAGTCGATTGTTCCAATTTTGACATGTCGTCTCTTTATAAATTCAGGCTCTTTATATTTTCCGAGTTAAATTTATCTTACACTACGGTTAAAAGTGACATTCCGAAAGTTATTTTCTATGTTCGAAAATCCCCGTGCTGTCGATCGACCTGTTTTCGAGAAGAACTCAGCCACGGTTGTCAAAATTTAACTTCTTGTCTGTCATAAGTAACCACGCTCGGATAGCAGGGTTAATCGATAACTTTCCATCTGTCAAATTTTAACCAAAAGTTAAAATTAAAGAGCCTACATTTATAAAGGGCGACATGTCAAAATTGGAACAATCGATTGTCTGTCAAAGTCATAGGAAAAGTCATTCCAATCGAGCAGAAGACCTGTCAAATGGATAAGATGTCGTCTTTTTATAAATTCAGGCTCTTTAGTTAAAATAATCCACCAAATGGTTCAGAGCCTAAGAGGAACAGGAGACAACTGGCTTCTTTTTGTCTGCAACGTGTTCTTCTTCTCTCGCGGAAACGACCGTGCAACGCATTATGGGCGACGCAGGGACCTCCACTATAAGGCTTGTACTCGAAAAAAATGCACCATTTATATCCGTGTGTAACTTTTTTATCCATAGGTAAAAATTGATAAAAATCTGGGTATAACTAGTTTGGAGTGAATTGTTTACATGTGCAAAATTTCATAACAATCGTTTCAGTGGTTATTGAGATGTCATCGAAACAAGAAGAAAATCGCAAGAGAATTTTGCGCGCCGTCATGGAAAATCCGACTGCGACCATGAGATGGATCGGAAGACAACTGGGAATCACCTATACAACTGTGTCTCGGATGGTAAACTCGTTTGAGGAGTCCCAGACGACCGAACGGCGGGCTGGAAGTGGATGAAAATCGAAGACAGCTGACCTTGTGAAGGCCCGGAAGGTGTTGGATTATTTCAAGCGTAATCCGAACCTTTCGATTCGCGACGCAGCTCTGAAGGCAAACTGTTCCGCCTGGTTCGTTCAGTAAACCATGAAACGAGCTGGGCTTCGTGTATTCAAGGTCCGGAAGGCACCAAACCGGCGTGATCAACAAAACACGGCGGCCAATTCCCGCGCAAGGAAGCTGTATCGATAGTGGTTAACGAAACCGATGTGTGTGGTTATGGATGACGAAACCTACATCAAGGCAGACGCAAAGCAGATACCAGGGCTGGAGTTCTACGTTGCCAAATCACGGTTTGATGTTCCGGAAGTCATAAGGAAGAAGAAAGTAGACGAATTCGCCAAAAAAGTACTTACTCTGGCAGGCCATATGCCAATGCGGTAAACTGAGTAAACCGTACATCACAATGGGTACCATCAACAGCGAAATTTACAGCACCGAGTGCCTCCAGAGGCGTCTGTTGCCCTTCCTGCGGTCCCACGGAGGCGAGACATTTTTTTTGGCCGACCTGGCATCATGCCATTACGCACGATCGACGTTGGATTGGTACAGAGACAATAACGTAGTACATACAAATACAACGTAGTACAAAAACAACCAAAAACCGCCAGCCCCTCAAATTCACCAGAGATTCGTCCGGTGGAAAGATTTTGGACCAAAGTTCGAAAATCGTCCAAGGTGTTTAAGAACGAGCTGGAGTTGAAGAAAGAATGCATGAAAGTGACCAAAAAGGTCGGCTCCACCATTGCACAAAATGTAATGAGGGGTTTTAAGGGAAAGGTGCGGGCTTTCAGCGATGGAAAGGAAATTGAATAAAGTAATTATGCCAAAACATAATCCATATGTATTACACGGTGTTTCGTGAAAACCCATTTATGGGTAAAAAAATACCCATTTTTAAACCATGTATGCAGCTGTCAAAAAATGGGGAAATTTGGAAATCATAAAATGGGTGAAAAAATACCCATTTTAAGAATCAGTTCACGAATGCATAATGGGTATATTTTTTACCCACTAATGGGTGAAAAAACACTTGGAAATTTTATCGTATCATTCCGTCACCGACCATTGGGAATGCAATCAGTTTCTGCCCGCTTTTATTTTTAGCAAAAATGGACGATCTCCGGAAAAGATTAGATTCCGAAACATTGGAGAGGCTTACGGATAAGTCCATACAGTTTTATCCAATATGATATTATACCTTCTCGTGTAATATTTTTTTTCGCTACACCTGCATTTATTTTCAATGTAAATATTAGTATGTTTTTTATACCAGCATTCTCCATTTGAAGAAATGGGTATTTTTTACCCATTTTACGAAAAACACAATTCAAGAAGATGGGTAAAAAAACACCCATTTATTGACAGATCCCCCATTTACCCATTAATGAGTAAACCATAGTTTACCCATTTAATGAGGAGGGGCACTTTTAGCTGAAATGGGTGTTTTTATACCCATTAATGGGTTTTCGCGAAACACCGTGTAGTTCATTCCCTGAAACTTTCAAGAAAATCCGACTTAAAATTAATTTTTGGCGAACACTTTTGTCTGGTGCATTTTTTTTTTTCGAGTACAGGCCTTAGGTGCGTTTACACTATAGAGTTTTGATCATCAAATGCAGTTGTTTCGTGGTTGAATCTAAAATTTGCATGAAACAGTAACCTCCTTAAATATCAAGTGAGGATTGCTACCTTCTTTTCAATTATAAGTAATTGAAATGTATTCGTGATGGTACCTCTTACTGGTAAGTTTTTTTTTTACTAAAATCCGGTTATCCTTAACACGTCACGACAGTTTTATTCTTGAAGACAACGACCGTAAATAATCGTACTCTACTCAACCGCAGCGGGCATTCATCTCCCCGTGCTACTATGGCAGTTTTAATTCCAACTTGTGCAGAACCGGAATGATTTTTATTTTTGTTCCAGGAGTTGCTTTGACACCACTGCATTTCGTTCATATGACTATCAAATGGAGCTACATGAACCCATTAATTGCTGATGTCATATGAAATTACCCCAATTTTTAAAAAAATCGCTTAGTACAATTTCGACAGATTACATAAAAACAAAACTCTAAAACTATAAAACTGGAATCCTACCATGAATGGGTTAAAATTCTGCCAGCAGCTGTGAGTCGTTGAGCAAGAATCTTCTGTGAGTGATTCGTTGCGGTTAGCATATTTTCAATTTACCTTATCGCATGAAAGGATTAGATATTGGTTTTTTTTCTCCTTCATTATATGACATACAAGTTCTGCATTCATGCAGCACTTTTTCTAGTCCTAGGGAAGCAAATCATATGAGTAAGGAAGATTCACCTCCAGCAAAACCAGAAGGCTTTAAAAAGGGTCATTCAATAGCTAGCAACTCATTTAGTGCAGAAAATTCAAACTGGCAGGTAGCAAAGTGCAAGTGTGGTGTTGAATATCAAAAGCTCAAAAGTTTTGAAATGACTGTGAGCTATAATTGGATCCTGGCAGTCTGGGTGAGACGATTTCCAAGTATTTGAAATCTAGTTGAATCAATTAATCAATCCCGTTCCAGTTAGTTTTGGAAAGTGTTACATTCAATCAAGCTAGGCACAGTGCCGGCGTGGAAGGAACTGATGATCAATATTTCTATCTTGATTCAGTATCTGGTGAGTGGATTTCGAAAGTTTTTCAATCAATTTACTACAATTATGGATTCTACAGACACCTACCACTACGGTTACGAAGTGAACCCGAATGGTACCTTCCATCATGAGCGCAGAGGTCCAGAAGGTGTTACGTACGGTTGTTACGGTTACATCGATTCCAACCAGAAGCAGCACGTTACACATTACGTAGCTGATCAGAAAGGTTATCGGGTTGTTGAGCCCAACAAACCGATCCTGATCTATTTGAGTGAGCAAACAGCTTGGCAAGCATTCCTGCTCCCTAGAGGATGCAGAAGTCATACTGGCAAACCGAGTTCAACAGGTCCCGAACTTATCTACAAACCGTTGGGAGCCGTTAGTACTCCTTCGAAACCAGCCACTTCGACTACTAGGCGACCAACTACGACAGCTACTTCTGCCACATGCAATTGCGTTTGGCCAACCTTGACGAAACCAACGGTTCTAACTCCGAAACCACCCACGACAACCAAAAATGGATCAACTATGGTTTCAAAAGCAACTTCTACCACTACTGCTAGAACTACACCCGTCTCAACAACCACCCCTAGTAAAACCACAACCCCAAAAACTACCCAATCGACCATGAAACCAGGTTAAGTATTCGGATCTTGCACTCAATCACCGTAAATTCTCAATTAATCATCTGGAACCCCAATTTATAGATCGTCTAAACGTGGGAATTGCCACGAATACCATTATCGGAAGACCGACGAATTACATTTACCGACCCCAGTACGAAGAACACCCAAACCTGGGGCGAGATCCTCGAGCCCAAAAGCCATCTTCTCCGCAAATCTACTACGTCCCATACCATCAGAATACGGCTCCACCGGGTGTCCCGTCGAAATCGCATGGCACTTGCGGCTCCGGCTTCGGTTACATTGGATTGGCTCCGGTGATTTTCGTTCCAGCTGCTTCGGCAAAGAATGTGGGTCTGGAAATAAATGCCTCTCAGTTTAGACGCAGTGACATACCTTTGAGGATGTTTACCAAGCCCATCGATGGTGGAAATTGGACGGCTACGGAGATGTTAGATGATGATGGCAACCATTTTGGGTTGAGTCATTCCGAAGAGTTGAAGAAAATCGTAAATGGTGTTGATTTTGATTTGCTCGTGTCGGGTGATTCTGTTTTGTAATTTTCCAGTGGCACTCGGAATCAATAAAATATTAATGCTATCATTATTTTCCTTGTGATGTCCGCCCTCCTGGTGATTTAAACAAGATATAAGCATCAGAATTGAGTTCTCAGTACATATTTTATCTAAGGAGCTACCCCCTAAAGGGTGTCCACGATGAAATTGCCACACACAAAATTGATTCGCAAAATTCGAGTTTTCATCCGATTGCCATCAAATTTTCAGGGATTGAGAAATAACTATTAAACTTCATTTTACCATTTTACTCGTATTTTATTTACAGTCCATACGCAAATGCCCGCACCTTGGCCTTAACCCCGGCCATAAGATTCTGCACAACCTGTGAATCAACCGTTTTTTGCATGTAAACCCATACTTTCTTCAGTTCCTCGACTGTCTTCACTACCTTAGGTCGTTTAAGAAGGTGCTGCTTCATAATCGCCCAGTACTTCTCGATGGGGCGGAGCTCCGGAGTGTTGGGAGGGTTGAACATTTTCGGCACGAAATTGACCTTATTGTCCGCATACCACTTCAGCACGTCCTTGGAGTAGTGGCATGAGGCCAAATCCGGCCAGAAGATTGTTGGGACGTTGTGGGCCTTCAGGAGAGGAAGCAGCCGCTTCTGGAGGCACTCTTTTATGTACACCTGTCCGTTCATCGTGTCCTGGGTCACGAAAGGTGCACTCCGCTTCCCGCACGTGCAGATGGCTTGCCAAACCAGGAATTTCTTCGCAAATTTGGACATTTTCTGAGTGCGGACATGCTCCGCAACGCTGAACTTATCCTTGGCCGTGAAAAACAGGTTGCCGGGGATTTGTTTGAAGTCGGCCTTCACATATGTTTCGTCGTCCATGATGCAGCATTCAACTTTCGTCAGCATGTTGAGGTACAACTTCCTGGCACGGGTTTTGGTGGACTTGTTCTGCTTCTCGTCGCGATTAGGGGCCTTTTGTACCTTGAACGTTCGAAGCCCAGCCTTAGTTTTGGCCTTCTGGACAAAACTTCGGCTTAGGTGCAGCTTCTTAGCCACATCCCTAACGGAGGCGTTCGGATTTCGGTTGAAGGCCCCAACTACGCGGTTGTGATTTTTGGTGTTGTACGGAATACTTTTTCCTTCACTTCTGGGCTTCCGATCGGTGGTCAACCGTTCCTCGAACCGCTTAATCACTCGCGACACCGTGGAATTCGCGATTCCCAACGTTTTAGCGATGGAACGATGCGAGAGATCCTTGTTCTCGTGATGAATGCGCAAGATTTTATCACGCACGAGCTGTTCTTTCGACTCCATTTCCGCGAGTTTTGATCACAGGACTTTAAAACTTGCAGGATGTAAATAATGCACTATGAACTAAATCCACCCAAATTTTCATTAAATTCTACCCAACGGTTAAAAAGTTAGAGCAATTTCATAGTGTGCCAATTTCATCGTGGACACCCTTTATGACCTCCACATGCCAAATTTGGTTTCATTTGCTTGATTAGTTCTCGAGTGATGCAGAAATTTATGTTTCATTTGTATGGGAGTCCTCCTTACAGAGGGGGGAGGGGTCTCAAAACCATCATAAGAACCTTTCCCAACCCCAAAAACCCCCTGCATACAAATTTTCACGCCGATCGGTTCAGTAGTTTCGGAGTCTATAAGGGTCAGACAGACAGACAGACAGAAATTCATTTTTATATATATAGATAGATAGAAGATAGATTACAGTGATTGTTATTCAATCTCAATGTCTTAATCGTTTATTGTGTGTAACAACCGGAGAGAGCTTGGTCATAAAACACACGAATGGGAGTGCGACTTCACTTTCGATTTTCAATCCAATAGAGCTTTTTGACGTTTAATCGGTGCACACTAATGCACCATTTAGGCTGTGAACCATTTGCCGAGTTAAATTTAACTCGTGGTTAAAAGTGACATTTCGAAAGTTATTTCTTATGTTCGAAAATCCCTGGGATTTACCGATCGATCGGTTTTCGAGCAGAACTCAGCCACGGTTGTCAAAATTTAACTTCTTGTCTGTCAGAAATAACCATGCTCGAATAGCAGGGTTAATCGATAACTTTCCATCTGTCAAATTTTAACCAAAAGTTAAAATAATCCACCAAATGGTTCAGAGCCTTATAGAAAGAGTGAGAGCAAGAGGGAACCAGATTAGTGGGAAAACAAACCATCCATTCATCCCTGTGTGCTAGATAGAAAAAGAAGATCAAACACAAAAAAAGGTCTATTGAGGGTCTTTACGTTACGTCAATGCGATCTGTTAAATCCTTGTTATGTACATGGACAAATGGAATCAAATAATCAGAAATAGATCATTATATTATTTTAGCTGCAAAGAACACAATAACCATAACACAATACAGTTCAAACAGATCATAAAATGCTGATTGCAGTCATAGAAGGTAAACAATGGAAAACAGAAGCTCCTGTAAGATGGGGTGACATTGGCAAAAATTGAAAAATCTTTATCAAATATCTTGAATACACAGAACATGATGCCAATAATATCACAGACAGACATGGCACATTGAATATCTTTCACTGTAACACATCGTCGCTAAAACACTATCACCATCTGTTGAATCTTCTTCTTTCCTTTATCTAACGTCGGTCTCTGTTCCGCAGAGTGAAAATCGGAGGGTGTTTCAACACTTCGAAGGGTATAAATAGCGGGACCTTGCAATTGAAGTTTTTTTTTTTTTTGTTAATTACTTTATTTGTACAGGCTCATTCGAATAAACTTTACAGAGCCAAGTTATCATTTTCTTTATACATTATAAATGTCTTAAATCTAAAATTAAAGGATTGGAACCGATTACTCGCGGTCTTCTCGAGGTTAGTGGATGACAATTGTTTGGATCGGGAGAGGGAAAAGGAGATTTGGAATATGATTTATGATTCAAAAATTTCACTATTTCTAAAACAAATACTTAATCCTATCGACGTTATATCAACTTTGTAATTATACAATTATTACAGAAACAAATCTACAAAAAAAAATGCACACACACATACAAAACACAAACTAAACACAAGGTTAATCAAACTTACAATCTATGGTTAATATTCTTCAAGAAAACATATATGAGTTGCATAAACTCCAGATCGCGTCTAGCCAAAATATCCCGAACTGGAACATTAGGTTGTCTACCTCGAGCCCGAAGGGAATCGTACAACTCGGATCTGACTCCACGGTGCTCAGCACATGACCAAATAATGTGATCTGCGTCCTGGTAACCTTGTCCACATTCACAGAGATTGCTGGCCTTCAGCCCAACACGGAACAAGTGAGCGTTTAACGAATAGTGATTGGACATGAGGCGAGACATCATACGAATGAAGTCTCGACCCACATCTAACCCCTTGAACCAAGAACTCTTCGACACCTTAGGGATGATCGAATATAGCCATCGTCCCAAACTCCCTTCACTCCATTTATTTTGCCAGCTGGCGAGGGACTGTTGACGATAAATGAAGAAAAATTCGTCGTAGGCGATTTGTCGATCGTAAATATCGCCTTCCATAGCGCCCACCTTAGCAAGTGAGTCCGCCTTCTCATTGCCCGGAATCGAGCAATGAGATGGGACCCATGCAAAGGTGATGACAAAAGATCTTAAAGATAAAGCACTCAGAAGCTCTCGTATTTTCATGAGAAAATACGAGGAGTGCTTTACCGGTCTCATGGATCGAATAGCCTCGACAGAACTGAGACTATCCGTAAAAATAAAATAGTGATTTGGTGCAAGTGAGGCGATCGTTTCTAGCGTATAGTGTATTGCCGCCAGTTCAGCAACATATACGGAACAAGGAGCTTGAAGCATTCGAGAGGCGCTATGAAATTCGTTATAAATACCAAAACCAGCGGACGCCTCTATTAGTGATCCATCAGTGAAGAACGATCTTGCGGAATCAACTTGGCCAAACTTTGCAGCGTAAATTGACGGAGCAATCATGGAACGATGATGCTCTGGGATTCCGCGAATCTCTTGCGTCATTGATAAATCAAAATGAACAGAACTGTCGAAGTCGGAGAAGCAAACACGATAGGGATTATGCAGCGAAGGGCTGACATCCTGTGTTATGTACACGTAGTACAATGACATAAAACGAGTTTGAGGGTTTAGCTCAAAAAGCTTCTCAAAGTTTGCAATCACCAGTGGGTTCATAATTTCACAACGGGTGAGGAGCCTGAGGGATAATTCCGAAAACCGATCAGAGAGTGGCAACATGCCCGCTAACACTTCGAGACTCATCGTATGAGTCGAGTGCATGCATCCTAACGCGATACGAAGACAGCGATACTGGATCCGTTCCAGTTTGATGATGTGCGTTTTAGCCGCCGACTGGAAGCAAAAACTACCGTACTCTAAAACCGATAAAATCGTTGTCCGGTACAACGTTAGAAGATCTTGCGGATGGGCTCCCCACCACGTTCCGGTAATTGTTCGGAGAAAATTGATCCTTTGTTGGCATTTCCGCTTCAGATACTCAATGTGGGATCTCCAGGTGCATTTTGAATCGAACCAGACCCCAAGGTATTTGAAGGACATAGAATGAGTGATCGGTTTACCCAAAAGTTGAAGCTTTGGTTGTGCTGGGCTATGCTTCCTAGAAAAAACGACCAACTCAGTTTTCTCCGTGGAGAATTCGATACCTAGCTGGATAGCCCAAGTAGACAAATTGTCTAAGGTATCCTGTAAGGGTCCTTGCAGGTCGGCCTCTCTGGGTCCTGTCATAGACACTACTCCGTCATCTGCAAGTTGTCTCAACGTGCAGTTGTCCCTTAGACAATTGTCAATTTCTCTGACGTAGAAATTATACAGAAGGGGGCTTAAACATGAGCCCTGGGGGAGACCCATGTAGCTAAATCGTGAAGCTGTAGAGTTTCCATGAAAAAAGCTCATATGTTTCTCTGACAGCAAATTGTACAAAAAGTTATTAATTAATGGAGAAAGGCCACAAGCGTGGAGTTTGTCTGAAAGGACTTCAACCGATACTG